GCAGTTCCTTAAATGGCTAATAACGTTGAGCACCTTTTTGTGTGTTTAATGGCTACTTAATATATTCTTTGTAAAGTGTTCAAGTCTTTTACCCATTTTTATTTAGGTGTTTGTCTTTCATTATTCTGTACACAAACCATATACATATAGTATTCCTTTTCTTAATAGTATTTTTTAAACAGCTTTATAAAGATATAATGAACATATAACGAACTGAACATTTTAAAAGTGTACCCTCATGAAACCATCAACGCGATCAAGATAATGAACGTACTCATCACCCTCAAGATTCATTGCCTCCTTCTTGTCCCACCCTGCCTCCCCACCCATTCCTAGGCAACCATGGATCTTTCGGTTACTATAGACTTATTTGCAGTTTCTAAAATTATATGCAAGTGAAATGAATCGTATAGTATGTACTCTTTTTTATCTGTTTTCTTTCATTCAGCAAAATTATCTTGAGATTCATCCATTTTGCATGTATCAATAACCCATTCCTTTTTATCACTGAGTAGTATTCCATTGTATAGATATATCATAATTGGTTTACCCATTCAACTCTTGAGTATTCGTGTTGTTTCCAGTTTTGAGTTATTATGAATAAAGCTGCTGTAACATTCACGCCAAGTCTTTTGTATGGGCATATGCTTTTATTTCCCTAGGAGCAGAATAGATGGATCATAAGGTAGACGTATGTTTAACTTTTAAAGAAACTGCCACATTGTTTCCAAGTGGTTATACCATTTTACATTCCCACCGGCAGTGTAAGAGAGTCTCAGTTGTCCCATATGCTCTCTAATACTTGGTATGGACAGTCTTCCTAATTTTAATAGGTGGCTATTTTACTTGCATTTCTCTAACAACTAATGATGTCGACCATCTTTACATATGTTTATTGCCTTTTGTATATCTTTTTTGGTAAAGTATTTCTTCAAATATTTTGCCCATTTATTAATTGGATTATCTGTTCTCTTATTATTGAGTTTTGAGCTCTTTATATATTTTGGATATAAGTCCTTTGTGAGATGTCTGTGGCCTATCTGTTCATTCTTTCAATAGTGTCTTTAAAAGAGAAGTTTTTAATTTTTATGAAGTCCAATTTATTACTTTTTTCTTTTCTAGTTAGTCTTTTATTTATTTATTTTTTATCCCAAGAAATCTTTGCCTACCACTAGGTAACAAAACTCCTATGTTATCTTCAAGAAGCTTTATAGTTTTAACTTTTACATTTAGATTTACAGTCCATCTAAAATGAGTTCTTATGTATGATGTGAGGTAAGGGTCGAGATTCTTTTTTATTTTCTAAGGATTGCAATATGCATCTTTAATTTATCATGGTTTACCTTGAATTAATCTTATACTGCTTCATGAATAATGTAAGATCCTTATAAGAGTACGATTCAGTTTACTTCCCTTTTCATCCTTTATGCTATTGTCATATTTTCATTTACATATATTAAAAACTCCACAATACACTGTTATTTTTTGCTTTAAACAGTCTCTTGTCTGTTAAGCAATTAAAGTGAGAAAAGAGAAATCTTTTATATTTAGTGACATATTTTCCATTTCCATTGCTCTTCATTTCTTTCTGTAGATCTGATTTTTATCTAGGATCATTTTCCTTTAGGCTAAAGAATATCTTCATTTCTTGTTGTGCAGAAGATCTGTTGGAGATAAATTTTCTTAGATTTTGCTAACCTGAAACTATCTCTATTTTACTTCATTTGTAAAGATGTTTTCATCGGATACTGAATTCTAGGTTGCCAGATTTTACTTTTCTTTCAACATTTTAAAAGATATAATTCTATTGTCTTATGGCCTCTGTTGTTTCTGATAAGAAGCCAGTCATTGTTTTTTATTGTTGTTTACTCTATGTAATGTGTCTTTTTTCTTTGGATGCTTTAATGAATTTTCTCTTTGGTTTTTAGCAGTTTGACTATGACATGCCTAGGAGTGTGTGTGTAATGTTAGCTGGGGTTTGTTGAGCTTGTTTTTAATCAAATTTTGGAAATGATCTTCAATTATTTTTCTTCCATATTCTCTCTCTTTTCTCCTCTGGGATTCCAAATACGTGAGTGTTAGTCTAATTGTGCAATATTATCCCATAAGTCATTGAAGCTCTGATATTTTTTTCCAATCTTTTTTCTCTCTGTGCTTCATTTTGGGTAATTTCTATTGACCTGTCTTCAAGTTCATGAATCTTTTCTTCTGCTGTGTCTAATTTGATATTTATCTTATTCATTTTTAGAGTTTCTACACTTCTTCTAAAATTCAAATTCCCCATATCTTCACCCATTATATCAATTTTTTCCTATAAATTCATTAACATATGTATAATAAATCCTTGTTTGGTAATTTCAACATGTGGGCTGTCTCTGGGTCTGTTTCTGTTGACTATTTTTTTTCCCTTTTGATAAGTGTCATATTTTGCTGCTTCTCTATATATCTAGTATTATTTGACTGCGTACTGGATATCGTAGATAGTAGTTATAGTAATTCTAGATTCTCTTATCTTCCTTCGAAGAATGTTGAATTTTGTTTTGGCATTTAAGTTACTGGCAGATCACTTTGATACTGGGGAGGCTTGCTTTTAGGCTTCATTGGTGTAGGCTTAATTCAGTTTTGCCCTTTGTCTTAGGAAATGGTCTTCATTCCTAAGGTGTGGTGCCCTGGGATTTCAATGGAAAGCTCCAGATGTTTTACGGGGTCTTCTAACTGGGTGGACCTTGAACTCGATCTTTCTCTCATTACTGAGAAATTACTGTTATCTCTGTTTAGCTCTTTTGGACTTCAGTTCTTGGCTCCTTGGAGTCACCCCACACCTATGAACTTTAGGACTCAAACAAGGATCTAAGGGGAGTCTGTATGCCAATTTTGTGGCTCCCTCTTTTCCATGTTTTCCCTACTCAATTTTCAGCTACTGTGGCAGCTGTACACTCTGACCTCTAATCTGTAAGCCCAGTAAAACTCTTGTTTTCTCCTTGAGCTCTATTCTCGTGTGCAGCGTGGACTTGAAAACAGCCTGAGAGGAAAATCCAGTTAAATGTGGCTATCACCTAGTTTACTTCTTCTTTTAAGAGTTGTATCTACTCTAGTTACCTGTTTAGGTTGCTCCCCAGTGCCTTCAAACTATTTTTAAAAAGTATTTTTTCCAGAGTTTATACTAGCTATCAACAGGAATACTAGTCTGATACAAGCTACTCAGCTAAGCAGAACTTACCCAAATATGTTTTATATTTTTTAATTTTGCTTTTCTGAATTATTAGGCATATCCTTAGTCTTCATATTGGGTAAGCCAATACTGGAGTTTCGCTGTCTGTTGAGTTTACTTGATTTAATTTAAAATTTCGCTAAAATTCTAGTAAATTAGTTATCAAAGTTTCAGAGGCTGAAAATAGGTTTCTGATAGTGACAACAACTTGAGTGTTGCATTCACAAGGTTCAAAATTTAAAAAGTAAAAAGGATATATGATAAAAAGCTTCATGTCTCTCACATGTGTTTTTTAAAAATTGGCAACTACATTTTTGATCTCTTGACTTATACAAGCAAATTGGTTTTATCCTGTCTGTCACAATCCCATGAACTCCTTGATAAAGAGTTTTTTTTTCTCAATAAATGACATCCTCCAGCAGAAATTGTTACAGAGGAAGGCATCAATTCCATTTAATTCTGTAAACATTTACTAAGCCATATAGTGTGTCCGGAGCAACGTTAGCTATTGTAGAGTAGAAACATGAGTCATATGGTTGAGAGTGCACTTCTGTTAATTAGAAAGGAGACAAGAGTAGCATTAAGGACTATTTGTAAGGAAATCTGATGCCTTCTACTTGACCCAGTTAGGAGAGTTAACAGAAAAAGTTCTGCCTCTGTCCCGCTGACACCTGGACTTAAGGTTATATTCTTGGCCCTGTCTATCTAACAGGGTGTCTCTTCAGGCCTGCAGCGGCCCTGTTTACAGCCAAGCTCAGCACAGGGTCCAGGAATCTTGCTGAAAGCTTGGTGTCTAGTTTACAGTTCTCAGGGGGAGAGAAATGATAAGCCAAGATCAGAATATCACAATATCAGAATGTCGAACTAGCTATAGTTAACAACTGAAGGGTTGCTCAAAAGCTTAAGTGTTCTCCAGCCACATCTGAAAGGGCTAAATCCCACTCTCAACATCTGAAAAAACATGGAGTGTCCACGACAGATGTACTGAAAAGATACTGGAAGCTGAGCAAATCTAAAGAGGCAGCAGCAAGTGTATTTTACACACTCCTTCTGAGGCCACGCCTTCAGTTTCCCACAAGGGCTTGGATAGGCAAGGCAGGGTCATGTGTACATGGTGGAAGGGACTGAATGGTAGGCTAAAGGTGTTTGCTAGAACTTTGGGAGTACTGCTAAGGAGAGGTAGAAATTACGAATGCCAGTGGTCAGGTTTATTATATCTGGGTATCTTTATTCCTCTGCAGGAATTTCAGATTATACACAATTTACCTGTGAGCTGATCCTGGCCAGAAAATAAAATTCGTGCATCTTCCATGCCGTCGTTCCCACTGGAACTCAAAATGGGGCTTGGAACCTCTGGCTACCATAGGGAAGCAGGCCATGACATTCTATTTTGCTACAGGTGGCAAGCCTACTGGAGGGCTTTTGAAATCTATCTGATTCCCACTCAAACACTCAGAACAAAATTAATTTATAAGCACCATTCTTTCCCTTGATGATGCACACAAAAAAGTCTCTAGAGAGCAGGGGCTGGTGAATGGAAATTAACTACAGAGGGTCCACAATTATTCTTTTGAGATGTATAAGAAGATCATTGATACTTTATTTAGTATGCTGTCCTTATGGCTTAATTTTAGTGACTGTTAAAGAAAAACAAAGATTGATAGACTTTTCTTTCATTTCCAACCTCCTGTTCCCTAATTCTCCCTTCTTCATGAGTCTTAATTTATTCAGTGGAGGTCTTCGAGAATTGAATTCTTATGGTGGGAGGGACTAGAGCAGCACCAATAGAAATATAATGCAAGCCACATATGTTTAAATTTCCAAGTAGCCCATTAAAAAAGGTAAAAAGAAACAGTTGACATTAATTTTTAATAATTTAGTTAACCCAATATATCGAAAATATCATTTCAACGTATAATCATATAAAAGTTATTGATGAGATATTTTGTCCTTTTTTTGTATTAAGTCTTTGAGATCTGTTTTGTATTTTACACTTACAGCACAGCAGTTCGGGCTAGCCACATTTCGAGTACTCAAGAGCCACATGTGGCTAGTGGCTATAGTATTGGGCAGTGCGGGCCTAGAGTGTAGGCCACAGTGATCCCCTAGGGGAGCCCCCTACACATGCAGACAGCACACTCCCTCGGCTGCATTCTAGGAGAGTACAAGTGATGATATAGGCATGAGGGGGTTTAGAATAGGGTCAGATGCTGGGATTCCCGCTGAGTTTTGCTGATTAAGATAACTGGGAAGCAAAGGGGAGGGCGTAGTGGGTGGGGAATACCGTGTAAAATCTGGGAAGCAGAAAGAGCCATTTGGAGGACGTGGCTATGCAGGAGATATGAGAAATTGTGGGGGGCTGCATCCTGCCACTCAGACAGGTAGGTCACCTGCAGTGACCCTCTGGCTGACCGTTTTTCCCTTTGTCTTTTCTCCTCCTTCCCTAATCCTGCCCCAACAGTGGTCCTCTGCCTACCCAGTGCTCCAGCTGAGGAGGCCTGTACACGCACCTGCCCCACAGCCTGTGCCTGCAGCAGCGTGGAGCGAGGCTGCTCAGTGCGCTGCGATCGCGCGGGCCTCCAAAGGGTGCCAGCCGAGTTCCCGTGCGAGGCGGCTTCCATCGATCTGGACCGAAATGGCCTGCGTTTCTTGGGCGAGAGAGCCTTTGGTACGCTGCCGTCGCTGCGCCGCCTGTCGCTGCGCCACAATAATCTGTCCTTCATTACACCAGGCGCCTTCAAAGGCCTGCCACGTCTGGCTGAGCTGCGCCTGGCACACAACGGCGACCTGCGCTACCTGCACGCACGCACCTTTGCCGCGCTGGGCCGCCTGCGTCGCCTCGACCTAGCTGCCTGCCGCCTCTTCAGCGTGCCCGAGCGCCTCCTGGCTGAGCTGCCTGCCCTGCGCGAGCTTGCCGCCTTCGACAACCTGTTCCGCCGCGTGCCTGGTGCGCTGCGCGGCCTGGCCAACCTGACGCACGCGCACCTGGAGCGCTGCCGCATCGAGGCTGTGGCTTCCAGCTCCCTGGAGGGCCTGCGGCGCCTGCGGTCGCTCAGCCTGCAGGCCAACCGCGTCCGTGCAGTGCATGCTGACGCCTTCCGTGACTGTGGTGCCCTGGAGCATCTGCTACTCAACGACAACCTGCTGGCCATGCTGCCAGCCGACGCATTCCGTGGTCTGCGCCACTTGCGCACGCTCAACTTGGGTGGCAACTCGCTGGGCCACGTGGCACGCGCCTGGTTCGCCGACCTGGCCGAGCTCGAGCTGCTCTACCTGGACCGCAACAGCATAGCCTTCGTGGAAGAAGGTGCCTTCCAGAACCTCTCGGGCCTCCTTGCTCTGCACCTCAACAGCAACCACCTCACGGTGCTCACCTGGGCCGCCTTCCAGCCCGGCTTCTTCCTGGGTCGCCTCTTTCTCTTCCGCAACCCGTGGCACTGTGACTGCGGCCTGGAGTGGCTGCGGGACTGGATGGAGAGCTCTGGGCACGTCATCGATGTGCCGTGTGCCTCTCCAGGTTCCGTGGCCGGCCTGGACCTCAGTCAGGTGGCCTTTGGGCGCTCTTCCAATGGCTTCTGTGTGGATCCTGAGGAACTGAACCTAACTGTATCCAGCCCAGGCTCATCCCCAGAGCCAGCAGCCACCACTGTGAGCAGGTTCAGTAGCCTCCTGTCCAAGTTGCTGGCCCCAAGGGCTCCAGTGGGGGAGGCGGCCAACTCCACGGAGGAGCCAGCCAATGTTTCGCTGTCTGACAGCCTTCCCTCTGGTGGGGTGGGAAGCTCGGGCTACAACACGCGGTTTCTCCTCGGGTCTAGTCTCCTGCTCAGCGTTTTCCAGCACATGGTGTTTGTCCTACAGACAGACTCACTCTGCCACACTGGGGTGATCCAAACCGCCTGAACCGTTGGGGGAACATTTAGTTAACTGGGCTGGAGAGTGTTTGTGGTAGGGGCAGAGGGAAACAGGATGAGGGCAGGTGCTGAAAATGCCAGCAGATGGTAGAAAAAACAGTTTGCCTCTAGAAATGGACCTAGGAAGAGGACAACCCTGGGAAATGCCACGTGGTGGGTGGAGGTGGGGTATGGATTTCTGCTCATGTTACATGGGCGTCAACTGGAAAAGAGAAGCAAGAATGAACATAGGCCCTCCAGTGAGAAGGCTAGGAATTGGAAGCTCCTAGGGCCTCAGTGTTCTACTGGCATCCCTTTCCCCCATCGTCCAGGAAGCAGGGACTACAGTGCCTGAATTAGAGTCAGTCCATTGGCTAAGTATTAAGAACTGTGCCAATTCTCCTGGTGGGGCAACCCATTAGGCTCAATCCCTTTGTTTTCTACCACAATCCTCCTCCCCCTGGGCCTGGGGACACTTGGGTCCAGGAAGATGTACAGGACAGGAGAGTAGAGGGGTGGGATACGGACTTAGATATAAGGTGGAGGTGGTTAAAACAAAGATCCATTTCATTTACTCCACAATTATTCCCAGAGGTAGCCTTAGGTGCAAAGGAACTTTAGGGCAAGGCAAGGAAAAAAAGAGGGGAAGTATCTGTGGACAAATAAATTTGGAAAATCCTAAGATTAAAAAAATTAGTTAAACAGGTTTTTCTACTGCAGGACTTTTCAGAGTCTTTCATATGCAAACGTATATTGTGAAATCTCTGGGGAAGCCACAAAATCCTCTTTTCTTAGTGTTTTGTGGCAAGAGTGTTTGGAAGATACAGAGATGCTATGTTAGCAGGACAGGGAGTCTCTAGCTTAGACGATCCTATTAGGTGTGAAAATTGTCATGGGTTGCACACTTTGGGGCTGATTAATGGCCAAGAGGAAAGGAGGCAGCCAGTAGGTGGAAAGGGTTGCTGAGAGATTTCTTAGGGCACGAGTTGGCCAACTCTTAAATCCCCAGGCCTGTGTCAGAGCAAAGGCTGTACATCTACTAAATACTTGCTCAAGCTGTTATCCATCTACAGGTAATTTTGATTGTATTTGTCAACATTCTGGAAATCCTTAATCTTAATGTCCTGAGTTCCTCTGTCTGTATTTGAAGAGGTAAGTTTTCAAAACCCACATAGATTCAGGGTGCACGGAGCTGTCAGTTCTTCATGGTGACAGTACTTCTTTTATGTCTCTAGAAAATACTAGGTATTAGAAATGTTGCAGAAAGCACCATTGAAAACTAGAGTGTTCAAACGGTTTGTGACCATTAGTGATCATCGAGTCAATTTAATCGGTCACAACGAGCATTTAAAAAAAAAAGATAAAACACAAAAGTCATAGAGCATTACATGTAATATAAGAGTAAGTATTGTTTTGTAAAACTTTTAATTTCATTTGTATGCATTTGTTCAAATTATATATGTATGTATGTGTATGTCTGGATTGCTGCATACAAATCTATATTTTATTGTGGGTTAGCATTAAAAATTCGAAAGTCACTAATCTAGAGAACGCATGATTTTTTAAAAAAAAACTTCTATTTTTTGAAAACTCTCAAACCTACAGAAAAGTTGCAAGAATAGTAGAATGAACACTTTGGCTATTCGCCTAGGTTTTCCAGTTAACATTTTACTATATTTACTTTCTCTTTCTCTCCATGTCATTGTTATTTCTTACTAACAGTTTGAATTTAGTTGCAAACATTATGACCCTTCATTGCTAAATACCTCATCATGTATTTCCTTAGAACAAGGAGATTCTCTTATCCACAATACCATTATCAAAATCAGGAACCTTGTCATCGATACAGTACTATTATTAAACTATACTCTATCTTGAAATTTCAACAATTGTCTAAATGATTTTTAAGCAGTCATTGTTTCTCCTGTGGGTGGAAAATAAGGTTCCTAGGTCGTGGCTTATGTTCATTTGATCACGATACTTTAAAATTCTAAATCTGTCAATTAATTTTAATGTTTCAAAATGAATTCATTCTCCAAATGTTTTACTTTTCAAATGTGAGAACCAGATGAGGTCAGAAATGTTTGTTCAAATCATGTGTGTGTGGCCATGGGAACTGAGTGAGGATCACAAGACTTGTGGAGACCAGATTTCCACATTTGAGTAACCACGGAAGCCCACAGCAGACATGGAGCCTGAATTACTGAGGGACAAGATGCCGCCTTGGGAGGAAAGTCCTTCTTTTCTTTTGGAGCAGGTTCCTAAGAGCCTGCCTCAAAATGCTGCTCCAGTTCTGCCTGGGCGGTTAGATGGCCAGCTTTTTAAGGAACATTTGTTTGGCTGAATGTTTTTGAACAAGTATAAACACTGAAACAGCCTCCGGGGAGACAGATTTTTATAAAGCTACCCAGCCTAATAGCATTCTGGGAATGTGGGAGTTACTTACCATCAAACAGATCCAGAGTTGCCTGGAACGAGTTCCCAGTGAGTTGTGGCCATTGTGAGCTCTCATGAGAGAATGGGAAGTGGAGAGTTCCCCGTTTTGAGTTCATTACGTTTCTCATTACATCACTGGCTAATTAGTACCCTAGGAAATATTAAGATACTATGAATTCTGCTCAGCAAAACTATGTGTACCTGTCAGGATGGACTATGTTATGCCGTGGTAACAAACAATCCCCAATCTTCAGTGGCTTACTGAGGGCTATTTCTCTCTTATGTAACATGGCCAATATGAGCTTATTAGGGAGCTCTGTTCATTGGAGCCATTCGGGGACCCAGGTTGATGAAGGAGATACCATTTTAGGACACTATCCAAACACGGGCACTAGAGTTTGCCAAAACAGAGAAGGAAAGCTTGAGAGAATCATGCGTCACTCTTTAAATGCTTCCACCCAGATGTGACACATATTGCTTTTCATACTTTGTTGGCCAAAATGTCACACTGCCACACGTAACTTCACCAAGGCAGGAAAGTATAGTTCTCCTACGTGCCCAGAAGGAGAAGAGAACTGGGAATATCAGTGAACACTATCAATGCTCCAAAGCATTAGTGGCTCCAGTCACCTCGCCTGATAGAATGTAGCCCGGACTTTTCAGAACCATCAGAGGAAATAGAGGCTTGAGGGGGAAATCTTGTGAGCAGGCCTCTAGCCCCAGTGTTTCTCTCCTCTCAGCACCCCACCTAGGCCTTTGAACACAATATTTACTCAAGGCAGTAGGAATGCAATGGCTTCATTCTAATTGGTTCTTTCGGGGAAGGGAAGAGAAAATGTAGAGACAAAAGGTTCCTATTTTTCCTTTTAAAAAATGTTTTCCACACAAAGAAAGACTCAAATCCCCAGAAGCTTGATCTTTGGAAAATTCCCTCTCACAAAGCTCCCTAGCTGTTTCTAACAGGTCTCCCTGTAGGCTAGGCTGTGGCTTCACAAAGATAGTCAACAGCCCTCCTGTCCACCCACCTCTTTGTCAGGCCACCACAATGCTGCCCTCCAGAGGACACTGTCTGCTGGACACAGTTGTCATTGGCTGTTGGTCCCCTTTGCCATCTTCATCCCGACTTCGAGGGAGGGGACCCCACTCTCTCTTTTGATCCTCTGGCCCATGGACAGCTTAGGCCCTCCCCCTGGGTCCCTCACAGTGTAGAAGAGCACACCAGCTGAGAAGTGAAGGAGACTTTTCCATTCTCTTCCAGTATAATGGAAGAGAAATAAGTAGCCCCTCTGTCTACTGCTGTATATAGCTGTTAGAAGAACTCTCAGTCCCCAATCTCCTCAGGGTCCTCTGCACCTGGGATGGTTTAATTCCCTCCCTAACCCATACGCACTGGGAATGCCCAGATTTCCTTGTGTTTCTGATACCAAACTCTCAGGGAGGACTTTTTCCTGTCTCCCTGTCTAAGACCCACCTTCCCAGCCCCACACCGGAAAAGAGGCTGGTCCTGCTCTCTGCAGCATTCCCCATACGATGTCACACACAGTCCCACAGTGGGATCTCTCAGAGCCGGAGGAGCCAGTCAAATCCAGATCCTCAGCCCGCTTGCCTGCTTCTTTTCCCGTCCCTTCTTAGTTCCAGCTACATGTTGCCTGAAAACTGCTGCTCAGAGCTCCAAAAGAACAAACAATAGTTCTGGGGACACCGGATAGCCTAAAGTTTCACAAAGTCAAGTAACATTTCTCCCCAGAAAGCTCCAAATTTGGGGGGACTGAGCGACACAGCACTGATAAAAGATATAGAAATTTCCCCTTCTTTTTTTAAAAAATGATTTCCCTCCCTTTTTAAGTATTACAGTTATGATCATTTTTTTTGTTTGTTTTGAAAGATATTTTCTTTTTCTGTTATCAAACAGGATATTTCACTCTATACTCTGAGACTGTGTTCAGGTTTCCTCCCTAAGAGCGAGGGGTGGGCCCTGCCTTTTTATTTGCTACTAAGTCTGATGTCTTCACAGAGCAGAAGATAGTCTTTCTTGGAGGCCCACCCAAGTATCTTCCCCAGGCGGCAGAAACTTCTTGGGTTTCTGGGTTACAGAAGTCTGAGAACTCCATTTCCATTCCATTCACTTTGTTGGACAGGAAGTGTCTCTGTACCTATTGGCTCTTCTGGGTGATATGGATGGAGGGATCTTGTATGGCCTTGTGGCTAGTGGTCAGGAAAGGCTGAGGGGGACAGGAGTCATACCAGGGGATGTGGTATTTTTGTTTTAAGTAGCAATAACAACTGGATCTCTGCGCTCTCTCTCTCTCTCTCTCTCTCTCTCTCTCTCACACACACACACACACACACACACACACACACACACACACGGCCTGGACTGATTTGAGGAATACTTAGCAGGCCCCTTGTCTCACTTTAGCATCTGTCTTCCTGCGGCCTGGGGTACAAGACTGATATGAAACATGGTCCCCTCCACGGTATGCCTGGCCAACTTCAGTTGCTGAATAAATATTACTCATATTCTTTCTATTTGTGTGTTCCAGGCAGAGAAAATTTAGAAGCACTCAGACAAAC